TAATTTGACACTGAAGATATTTTAAAATGGATGATTAAAGTTTTGTGTGGGAAGTAGATTGTGGTTTGTAATATATGAAAGCAATTTTTCTAGAAATTGTTTTTACCAAATTGATGCATTTTGGTAAACCACAAAAATTTATCTTTGGGTAGAGTTAATTTATGGCACATATGGTAAGAACCACATCATTTGCATTAATATTGAAGGTCGTATCTACTCCAGCGCAATATCAACAAAATTGTATGTACCAGTATGTTATATATCAAAAATCCCTATTTCTGACTTTTTGTCCGTTTTATTCATTTTATAAGGATTTCTGTTGTCTCATTTGATAGTGCTGTTAACACTGATTTTGATTAAAGAATCAGATTTTATTTATAATTTATAAAGTATTTGAGATTGGGCTGGTAATTTATATGAATATTGTAGATGCATTCTAGCATTTCAAAAAGCCACAAAAATTTGCATTGTATTGTAGTTAATTGGGTTTTATATATCATAGTAATTAATATATACATTGTTAACATGTTATTATTAAAAAGAAAATAATGAGCTGAGCAGTACATTTTGTTTTTGTTGAGTGGCTTTTTGATTTTTAATATCGATAATATTTATGAATGAGGTACAAGAGTACAAGAATGAATGAATGGTATGTTCAGTAGAAAACAGTACTAGACTCTGTGTGTACTTGAAATAGCTTCCTGCACAGCATGCCTCCTGTTTTACTGGCAGACTGATTCTCCTTGTTGCTTTCTTCCTGTTTGTAGTCTTTATACAATTTGATGTCTTCAGCTGATTTCTCTAGTTGGCCCAGACTTGATACTGGTATTGAACAGGACTTGTTTAAGTTTCTCTAGAAAAAACTCAACCAATTTGTCATTAACCTGAACTATTGGAAAGTGAGTGTTTGAATTTCAACCTGTATTGAGCTGGAAAAATTACTTATTACCATTTATTCATTTGATCTGTGATATTGTGATTCTTAATTCCATGAAGAGCGAAAACCCGTTATTTAAATACAAATTTTGATTTCAACAGAGAGGAATGATAGTTTTGGACATTATCTGAAAATGTTGAATGTTTTGTTTTGGAATTTTCTAAAAGTAGTGAGAAATGCCTGATGGAATGAGATAGAAATTCCATCGTGGGGTGATGGGAGTGTAAAAACTGGACAAGGAATTTTGTTATTAACAAAATAATTTAAGACATGAAGAAAAAAGTGAAAAGATTGAAAATTTTTTCGAAACACGTGGATGAGATAAGTAAAGGTAAGGAAATGGTATTAAATTTTGATCTTGATCTCATTTAAATGAACTTCCAAAGTAGAATGTGATCCATAATTCCCAATATTGAGTGTTATAGAATATATAGGAGCACTGGTTTGTTTGATCAGGAATATTTCAAAACAATATAACATGTGATGGATGTTTAAACTTTATAATGAAATATCATATTGGTAGGTATAAAATTATGAGAAGAGAAGCGTTCATGTTTTAGTAATTATTAATATTTTTTTATTTATTTATCTTAAAATTGTATGATGAACTTGGCATGTAAAATATAACTAACTGAAATAGAGCAGAAAAAATGAAGACATACTTAACTCTAGATTATATCTGTATCTTGTATTGGAAATCATTGAACGGTTTAATTTCTTCTGAATCAACTGTACCCAATACCTCTTGCTTTTATTATCCCATATTTATACCTGGTTAATTACCCTGTTCATTATGGATCCCAATTAACGACATCTTCTTAAAGTTCAAACATCCTTTGATGAAAGTTGGTGAATAACGAACATTGAGAAGCTATCTATAGGATTTAGGATGGCGGTTGATTTTATGTTTAAGGTATATTTTATGAATTTTTTCATTTGTTTCAAGAATATTTTCTAGTTTGATTGATCTTAAAATACTGTTGTTTTTATAGGTATCCTTGAATAATTGTTGAATGATATTATTTTCAATTAACCTTTCTGAAAAGTACATTGCTAACAACATATTTCTGTATATTTCTTGTAAAACTGAATATTACATTTGATAACTTGATATTTCTGTGACTGAGTGGTATGAAAGCACTTTAATAATCATGCAAGTTTAGCTTATCATCAATTCTCTTGACAGTATCTCAGAATCGTGTCAAACATAGTGTTTCCTGCTCCTGATTCAACCTTCTACCACTTGCAGTTCAGTTGACCCTGTGTATCTAATCAGTACCTAATTGAAGGCTACAGGTCAAGGAGAAATTGTCAGAAGGAAGTTAGAAAGTGGTTTATTTTTATAAATATTTCCTCATCTGTATCTGATTTAAACCTTACTGTTAGTCCATTCATAAATATCTGATACTTCCTACTGTATCATTCATTCATGTGATTGGATTAAAAATAAATGAATTAATGAATGATTCTGTGAATTATAGTATTGAAGAAAGGTATAATGTTAATTTCATCTATTTGAAGTATGTCTTAATCCTAAAGTAATCTTATTTAAAATTTGTCCTCTCGCAAAACAGAATTTTTCAACTTGTGTAATTCTTAAATTTTCATTTAGAATGACCAAAAATCATGCAGTTCTATTTTGTGTAGTCTACCTGAAAGCTTGTCATGTAATATTTATTGAGTTTTATAATACAGGATGCATTTGGTACATAAACCACAATATTTCAATGATGTATTGATAATGAATATTGTTAATCTTGGTATTTTGATAAGAGGAAGTTATCAATTAATAAAGATCATCAAAATGATGAAATCAGTCATATTTAAGTGGCCAGTCCAATCCCAAGGATATTGTTCTTTGTTGTGACCTATCCTTTAGTTTAATTTTCCTGAGAGAATAAACCTTTAGATAAATTAAAATTTCTCTTTGTTCAGGGATTGCCTTTTCATTATTGATGAATCTGTGTTCTTTTTCTCAAAACTTTATGTCATTTCAAATCGAGCTTTAGATGTGTAGTGAGATGGAATATTTTCTTTACAGGGTAAACTAAAACTCAGTGAGGAACAATATTTTGTGGTATTTGATAATTCTTTGTATAATTTGTGCTTGTCTCCACAATGAAATATTTTCATGTCAAATCATTACAAACTGTTAATTGTGTAGTAACAGAAATGAGTTGATTAGTTCAAGTGAATCAGGATGTATTGTTATTGGTTGGATTTGTTTAAAAGAGTTTCTTATAGGCAAAATAGAAGTAGGGTATATCTTATGTCAAATCTGTGATGAACTGTTTTATAAAAAATCCCAAGTACTAATGATCCAAACTGCAAAACGAAAGTATTTCATAATGAAAAGTGGTATCAGGTGCCTAGATAAGTATGCATGCCCTGCTTGTGTGATAAAATGAATAAAGAAGAAAACATAAAATAAAAATTGGTATGAAATCTGTTTAGGTTTATAATTTTTCAGGTATACTTTGAAAACGGTGTTAAGCCTTACACATACTTTGAAATGAAGGTGGGACTGTCCTCTGGGGTATCTCAAGTATTTGAACATTTCAGATAAAACATTCTGTAACTCAAAATCAGAGTTAAAGTAAACTTAACATTCTTTTTTTTTTTTGTCATATGTTGTGTACCGGTACCAATAAATTTAAGTAGGCTTATAGCAGTTTGTTGTTAACAATTATTAAGAATGTGTATGAAAAAAAAAACCGTTACATGTACTTGAGTCCAAATCTCCATAATCTACTCCAAATCTGTATTCATGCAATTTATCTTTATTTCATAATACATTCTGTTCTAGACTGACAGTACACTGAACACGCATAAATGATTCTTTTACAACAAACAATATTTGAGGAAAATATCAAAATGATACTTTTATCTTAAATTTATTTAAAATGTACTCAAAAACACCAAATAAATGGATATTATACATGAATTCTGTACTAGGATTTTATATAAAACTTCAGGATCTTGAAATTTGATCAGTCTAGAGGATTTTTGAAATAAAGGGTGAAGTCATACAGAAAATCATTCTTTTATTATATATAATCAGAATATTGAAAAAAGTTTCATTTTACAGATTTCTGTTGCTTCAGATTCTAAAAGCAAAACGAGAAATATGACTTTTATCCATTCTGTGTGACCATTATGTTGTTATCCTACTCAATTTTATAGGAATAAAGAATAATTTCAATTTTTTTGTATCTTTTCAGAATGGCTAAACATGGCCCAGACAAGTCGAGGCTCAAATACATTGAAAGAAAAACTACAGGAGGAATTTCTTTCGTGTAAGATCTGCTTTGAATCGTTCCGAAAACCCAAGGCGCTGCCATGCCTCCATACATTTTGTGAACATTGTTTAAAAGGCTATGTCCGACGGAATCCTGGCAATCAAGCAGGGTCCTTTCCGTGTCCAATGTGTCGGAAAGACACAGTGTTACCTCCTATTGGTGTGGAAGGTTTTATTGACAATTTCTTAGTATTAAGTTTATCGGACACGTTAGACGAAGATACGATATATTCAGATAGAGGTACATCTTCACCACCTAAACATCTGTGTCCTCCTTCACCTAGAGAACAAAATCTACGCACTAATGGGTAAGTAGTTTATATGTACTTACATGCTGTATTATTGTACTGTGAATAAAGTGTGAAGCCTTGAATCTAAGGATAAAAAGAAATAACAAATCTAGGATTTTTAGTGTAAAACCATTGATATAAATATTCTCAAAAGCAAGTGAATCAGAAACATTATATTCAACAATGAAACTAGCTTCAGTCCTTTGAATAACAGTCTGATATTTTAGAGATTATTTCTTTTATTCTTTTTCCAATAATTATTATGCATATTCAGCAAAATATTAAGATCATTCCTGACTTTTGTGGGTAATTACATACAATATTTCAGCATTTTTCATGATCATATTTAATTGATCAGAAATTCAATTCTACAGTATGAATATCTGCTGATGGTCCTTGGGAGGTAAAGATTTGCTATGTAGCTAGCTTACTCCAACAGTTTTACTTTTATTTATTCATTTAAATTATTTTCAGTTGGTATTTTGGTAAGGTAACTCGGAATGCTAGTGAAGAATGGTTACTATCACCAGATTATCCTAAAGGAACATTTTTAATCAGACAGGGTGAACAATCTCCAGGTAAGATATCTTTATTTTATTATCAAATATTGAAAGTTTGAGTTGTATTCATAACCTTGTTCAGGATGACTCTGGATTCTTTGCTTTCAAATGTTCTAGAACATTTAGGAACAAAACATGACCATCAAAAGGTCGCCTCAAGTAATCAATAGATTGTTCAGTTACATTTGGTGCCATGTATAACTCCCAATTGTTTGTCTTATTTGATCAGGACTATAGTTTTGAGGATGTGCCAAGATTATGTACCTTAGATTTGATGGTGACCACATCTTATAATAAAACATACTGCCAACCTTGCTAACTTTAATTCTGTTTTGAAATAAAACTGAAGTACAGTATATCTTTTACCTTGCATGACAAACTATTTCAATCCCTTTATTATTTTGTATATGTATATTATAGATACCTACACACTATCAGTGAAAGATTGTGATGAATTACGAGGGTTTCTAGTAAAACATTATAAAATAGTGGCTAAGGGTGTTCAATCCAATCAGTATGTGTACTTTATCACCCAGAAAAGGGTGTTTTCATCATTAGTAGATCTAGTTGACCATTATATGGGTAAGTGTGATACATTATTATTTATCTCATGCTGCCAGGGCATCTGGGGACCACCAGTACTGTCTTATATTTGAATTTGAGGCGTTTAAGCAATGTTTACTTCCCCATTAATACAATTCACTCACTTCTACAACATTTAGTCTGTTACTCATTTTATGTATGGAGCTATATAGATATTCTTAAGACATGCTTGGCTTCCAAATCTATGGTCAGCTCTCACAGTTGGGACAGTACCACCTAGTTTGAGCGTCACCGTACGATATATGATCAAAGTAACCTATAGAGTCTGGACAATCTTTGCATAATCACATGTTATTGATCTTAATTAATTTGATCACAAGTCAGTTCCTATGCCACTATACATACTAATTGTTGATATTTTCCATTCATAGAAATCCCAGATGGTTTATGTACCAAGTTAACAGCTATCTGTATTAAACCCCGGTCATTATTATGGGCATTAGATCGTGGTAAAGATGATGAATATGCCACTGAAAGAGACAGTATAACTATCATTAATAAAGTTGGTAGTGGACAGTTTGCTGATGTTTATTTAGGTGAGGTGAAATTTTAACTGGCAACCTTTTTTGTGCATCTAGTTAAAATGAACCAAGATGACAAGGAAATAGATTTGAAATTGATTTGTGTATGGTGAATAGGCCAAATAGACTTTGTGGACTCTTCGAGACACTATATTAACCTTAGCCACAGATTAGCATCAGATGTATCAGAAGTATGGGTATTTCAAAGGTGGCTCAATAGGTGTCATAGATTTTCAAAATCATTGAGAAGTTTTTACATAGCACTTCTTGTTATTATGATTATGATCTGATCTATAAAATGTGTTCTTACTTTTGTTTTCAGGTAAAATTGGCCAATCAGTTAGTGTAGCTGTAAAAATTCAAAATCGTGACAATGTGACAACTTCAGCTTTCCTAGATGAGGCTCAAATATTAAAAACATTACAACACCCTAATATTATACCCTTAAAAGGAATCTGTAGTGAAAGGGAACCTGTGTATATATTAACGGAATATATGTGTAATGGAAGACTGTCCTTATTTTTACGTGAAGGAAGTGGTCGTGATTTGACTCAACATCAATTAATACGCATTGGAGCTCAGGTAGGACTTCTTTACTTTCTTATACAATCAATCAAATAATTGGTATAGATGTAATTGATAGTATAATATCTGCTCGTTACACTTATTTCATATATAAAATGAACCATGGCAGCTCGTGATGTGAGTTGAGTACTAGGATACATAAAGTAAGTTGAGCTTGCTGCATTCTATCATATAATACTGTAGCTCCTAAAACATTCTTATTCATCTCTCTTTACAGATAGCAGATGCCATGGCTTACATGGAAAAAGAAAAATTTGTACATAGAAATTTAGGTGCTAGGAATATTTTAGTTGGTGATCAAAATCGTGTGAAAATATCTGGGTTTGGAATGACAAAAGCTACCAATGATCCTGATTTTAATTACAGAAAAGGTATGCCTGAATATATTTTACTGATTTTACCTGCACCTTTTACTTTTAGATTATTTTTGGAGTACTAACTGTCCAATGTATCCACTGGTGACTTGATTGGGTGGTGGAATTTGAACAATGTACATATATTAATTTCCATCAGCGTGACCTATACTTGCATTCAGGAGAATAGGATTATGTTTCAGATCTGTGTTCAAAGAATATTATCTAACTCAATAGCAGTTTTTGGAATGAGAATCTTATTCCAGTTTGTATGAAAGCCGAAAGTGAGCTGAACAGCTTGTCAATTGTCCATATTTGAGCTATATCATAGCAATAACAAGATGAATATTTACAGGATTGAAAATGGCTATTAAATGGATGGCACCAGAAGTGTTATTGTATAATAAATACAGTTCTAAGGCTGATGTCTGGTCATTTGGTATTGTGTTGATAGAAATATTTACCAAAGGCAAGGAACCATATGATGGTATGTTACATTGTTTATCAGAGTTTTGGGTTTGATGTTATTGTTTCTATCCTGAAAACATCTGTTATAATGCTTCTTTATTTTTTATACATGTGATAACATTGTGCATCTTAATAATGAATCAAAATTCTGAAACTAGAAAATATAGTGTATTGAAATTATTAAGAGCAAGCATTAGTACCCTTGTATCATTAATGGTTTTACAATACGCTACAAATGAAATGATAATTATAATTTTGTTGTTTTTTTTCTAGGAATACCAAGCAAAGAATCATTTGAGAAAGTTCAAAGAGGTTATCGAATACCGCGACCAGACAACTGTCCAACAGAAGTGTATGATGTCATCTGTAACTGCTGGCAGACAAATTCACATTCACGGCCAACGTTTGACTATTTAAATACATTTCTACATGATTACAATGACAGCTGAATTTCATTAGATAAGAATATGAAATGATGTGAATTAATTCCTTGATTCTGATTGGATTATAAATAGTGGTTGTCAAGGATACCTCCTATGCTCACTGTGCTCATCCACATCCTGTGCTCACGCTCATAAACAGGAAATAGAAATATGTAAATTATTATAAAGTTTGTGAATAATATATTCTGTGAATGAAGTGCTATTGACCAATGGAAAACCAATATTTGGAGCAATGAGGATAACAAAATTGGTTTTTGTGTTGACCTTAAAACTGTCGTAACTCAGGTCATGCTTTTGGTTTTGAAAAAATAGACACAACCTAAAAAATAAAGTTAAAATATCTATGAAGTGGAACATGACAATTTTAGGTGCTGTGTACATGCAGCTCAAAATGTTTTTGTATTTGTTAGTGTTGGGGATTAGTTTTGGTTTTTTGTTAGTGTATTATTAAATGATATGCTGGGACATATTTATACAAAAAAAACTTACAAAGACAATTTACACTACTTTAACTACACACTAAATAATGGCATAAAAAGATAAATCTTAGTTGGGTAGGTGATGCCAGTGTTAAAGGAATTTTTTTTTATGGTTGTTACAATTCAACAAAATCTTGCATATGCTGCTGGCAGATTATGTCTAAATCAAAATCTTCAAGATCAGTGTTTGGGTTAAATAACAATATTAAGCTTGTGAAGAATCCCTACCCAACTGAAATTATCTAAATATAATATATATTTTATTATGATGAATGGATGGAAATTGAACGTTATTGGCTGTGTCTGTATAGTCTTATTCTGGTTAGGAAGTCTTTTTCTGAATTTCTACTGTTCATCATGGTATATTGCTCTGTAGAAAATTGAAATTAGATTCATATTTAGGATCAGGTGTTGATTTGCAATCTCTGTCCAAGACTATGGAACTATACAGACCAGACAATAACTATAATTTGTATCATAGTGACTTTATATTCAGGGAAAATCTATTATATCATACTAACTTTACAGTCACTTATTATATACAATCTGATTCAAATACAGCTTTACATATTTTAAAACACATCAGAATAAATTATTACCCATGTGAATCGAATATTCAATAGTTTCAAATCTGATGTTGGTTTTTGGCATTATTTGAATGAAGACATTTAACTGTGTAGTAGAATCTGTATTTGAATCAGATTGTTTAATGTACTTACTATATTACCATCATTATTATAGTTCACCTTCATTCAGAGGCCACAAAATATAATTCTTTGTCTCTTAGAAGAATGTTAATTCAGTGTTTAGTTTATTTTGAATATTTTGAAATTAAAGCAGAAGATGAAACTATTTTCTAAAATTTGAGTTTCTTCATAGCTATAGTATGGCTGTTAAAAAAAACCAACAAACAGAAACAGAGCCAAAATTTGTGAACCTGTTTGTTATCAATAATAACACAAGACTAAAACAAAACCAAGATTCATAACCTTGTGTATGAGATACAAAGAATTATTTTCTGTGGTCTATACATATATAGTTTCATCATTTATGTCATACATCATTCAATTCATGCCCCTAAAATAACTTTCTAAAATTACTTTCTGGACCTTAAAAGTTATTTTGTAGACCTTTAGATTGCTTTCTTAGACAACCACACACATTTTTTAAACTTACCCTGAAGTTCATAACTTTAGCTTTCACTGTTTGTCCCTTCCTGTTTCTTTTTCTGTCTCATCTTGTTCACTGTCCCTATAGATCCTTACAGACTGTTTTTTGTTTTCTTTTTGTGTTTTGCTTCCTTTATTCAAAGGTCTCTGTTTTAAGGTTGTACTTATTGTTAATGACATTTGACAAGTTGTTGTTTAAGAAATATTAAAAAAATCAAATGTTTTCATTTTTAAATGAGATCTAAAATATGAACAAATTTAGGTTGAAGAATCTTTTTAAGTTAGTCTGTTAAATCTGTTATAATACAGTTTTTAATTTAATAAGGCATTTTATATTTTAAAATAACTGTTAATCAAAAATTACATAATTAAGAACAAACTGTTAATTGTCGAACAAATAATGTGAATGAATTTATTTTATGAAACACTGATAATGGAAATAAAATTATCTAAAGACAGGCAGCTCAGCTAGTTCCTCTCGTCTGCAGCAGGCTTAAATAGTAGTGTGTGAAGACTATTTTGTGTAAAAAGATGTAAACATTATTGTCATTGTAAATGCCATTATCTTATGCATGAAACTTTTAATCCACTTCTTGAAATTTAATAGATAAACTAAGTTCTGGAGTCTTAGCCTTTAAAAATAAAGCTGTGGCATGCCACCATCATCTCAACAAATCAGAAAAAACTATATTTTTATTGTGTTAAACCATGGCTAGTATATGTCATATGAAGGGACAAAATATTCATGATTATACGTACGGGAAACCCCTCTAGTATGAAAAAGGTCATTATGAATATGATTAGTTAAATTTCAATTCTTTTTATGGAATTATCTATTTCAATTGAAACAGTGTTAAGATTAATATTATGATGATGGCATGCACCTAGAAATTCTAAATTGATGTTGAAAATCCAGATAGCATTGCTTGAAGTTAACAAATTATGCTCTGATAGGACTAGCTAATCAGTGATTAATTTGTTAAAATTACTAGTGGTTCAAGCTTGCTTGTTTGAATAGAATTAAACTTGTCATTAAGGTTTAAATATAGAATGCATTTCCACGAGTCATTAAGTAGAGCCAGTAGAATTTGAATATTTTGTTCAATAAAAATATAGGGTATATTCTAATTATAATATTGCCATATTATAATATAGTGATTGTATATACTGAATATTATTGTCTAATTTACATTTAAAATTACATTTAAACCTTGTTTATTGTCAGTCAATTTGATATGGAACATAGGTTTAGTAAGAACATAGGTTTAGTAAGATATTAATGCACATCTATGGACATGTTGAAGTATGATTAAGATCAATGCATATTGTTTTTGGTTAAAATTCATTGTAATTGCCAGTTAAACTATTTGAATCACCTCCAGATGTGCACAAATACCTTTATTTAAGCCAAAGTCTTAAGCCGTCTAAGTTTATATAATAGCTACTGTAATATATCGCTTCATTTCACAATATTAACACTGCCAAAATATCTACTGTATGTCCCAATTTTGAAAATAAAAAAAACTCAGAATGTATATCCACTTTGTGTTGTTTTCATCATCCTGTTTTCATGAGCACAATGAGTTATAAAAAATGACAAGATTAAAATCAATTTCAACTTAATCGTGTCAGTGACATTATACATATGGTCTGAATATGGAAAAAAGTTTCTGTCAATTGTTCGAAAAACTAAAGCACCATATGTTACAGGCAGTACACATTGAAGACCCCTTGATAAAGTCTAATCATCGTACATCTTCAGGTGTTTCATCTTTAGTCCTAAATTATAAGGTTAGTAAAGTATGACGTGAAAATCAATTTCCAATCATATCACACTCACAGTAATTGTGGGCCTACACATAGAGCTGGCACATTTATATGCACATGGTTAGAGGAAGGCCTATTTGGAGGAATAAGTCAAATAATTGTTAGTCTTACTAAAGACTGATTTGTGATTCAACTGCCAATAATAAATCATTAGATACACCGAGTTCACGTTTTGAGAATTGAAATTTTTAGTAGTCTGTAGCCAAAATGTTTATATCTGGTTACCTCCCTTGCATAACTCATAAGAACTAGAAGGTAGAAACAGTTCCAAATGAAATTTTGTGTCAAAACATGACACAATATTTTTCATAATTAATTTGTGCCATTATTGGTGTTATAATATGTTTTCTTGAGAATGAAACAGTAAGTAAAGAAAATTAAAGTTTGTGAATCAGCTGTTGTTGTATTGGTGGGTGAAAATGTTCATGAACTGAATTGTCTGATTGCATTGATAATCATTATGTCAGTCAGACCAGACAGATGGTGTCAAACAATATATTATTATACACTGTCATATGAATTATGATAGAATATCATATGATTATAAGGCTAATTTGATACTTTATGATTATGTTGTTAGCATGATAATTGAACAATTTAAATAGCCTTGGCTGGTATCAAAATATCAAGAAGTCAAACTATTTGAGTACTTGTTGTTAGATTATTATGCTTGCATAGGAACGTCTTGATCTGTGATTTTTGTTGACAATTAAAGTCTTGTTGATTGTCTGCGGGCACACGAGGAGACAAAAATCTCCAGTCGTTTGTTTTCAACTATGTTCTGGTTCATCTTATAAATCCTGTTGGTAACACGATAATCTTGTTGTGAGAGCACGGGGGCAGGCACATGTGGAATTTGACTTGACTTTGCATTGGCGACAAAGACTGTTGAGTACCTGCACCATTAGTAAAACTGCATGAGGTTGGATAAAAATACTGGCCTATAAGTTTGTAGACATATATCACAGAAATTGTCTGCTATCAATAACCCAAAATTGATTTTCATGAAATATAGCATACTTCCCAAGTTTTGACTAAATTGAATTTTATTTTGATATATTACAGATTGAGCTGATACTGTGCCTGTCAGAATGACTGTAGAGAAGTTAATAAGTTTAGCATTATGTTCCTTGGGGTTATTTAAATCTATTCAACCCCATTGGTTATATTTTGATCAGTATGTGTATACAAAATATCCAAATGTGACAAGTGATGAACTTTTGCAGGAAATTATACCAGCTCGAGACTATTCTGCCTTAATTCTTGTACCCTTCATTATAGCTGGAACAGATTATTTAAAGTATAAACCCATTATTATTCTACAAGGTTTCTTTTCTGTGATTCTATGTTCCTTGTTAATTTGGCACAAAAAAGTCCTTTCACTTATAGTATCTCAGGTTTTCAGAGGCTTTATTCTATCCACTGATGTAGCTTTCTATGCATATATTTTTGCAATTGTAACCACTGAGAATTATAAGTTGAATGTGTGTATGACTCAAGCGTCGGTTCTCTTTGGAAAATTCTTAGGCCTTTTATTAGCCCTGTTGCTAGTTGTGTTAGAAATTACCTCCAATTTAGACACTATAAATTATATCACCCTTGCTTTCTCTCTGGTGTCATTAATAGTTACCATTCTTCTGCCACATGTCAAGCCCAGAATCCCAACTCAAAGGGAGATAATTGAGAGAGAGTTGAGAACACCAAGTGGATTGTCTGGTTCGGAAACATTACAGAAGAGTCCATGGGATGAAGATCGTACTATGTCCATGCATTCAGAAGTGCAGGGAGTCATTGATTCATATGCACATGTGAATGATCCTGCATTTACTGCATATGCACGGTCAAACATGTTCAGTGATATTGACACTAGTTCAATAGGATTTTATGGAGATTTTTCTGGCAGCGATCAGTATGATCCGTCATTACGCTCAGAATCATTTGGAGATGAATCAATCACTTCATCAAGGGTAGACAATCAGGAATCTGAGACAGATCCAGAAAGGTTAAAATCATCGTCACTAGTAAGAGAGAAGATGGATAAGTTTGTAAAAGATATACAGAAAGTATACAGTGAAATAACAGTGATATTATGGTCTATCTGGATGGTTATAAGTGGTTGCTGTTATTTTATTCTTGAAGATAAATTTAGCGAGTTATTAGATGAAGCCACGCCTGGAAGACCTGATGCCTTATCTTACGATGCTGGGACTGTTACACTCGCCACTGTTTTAGGTAATATATAGATGAGCTTTCAGTTCAATTTGAATAAATTTTCCTCTCAATACAGTACTCAATTTTTAATACTTGAATAATTGGCTAGAATTAATAATTTTTGTATGTTGGAAGGTAAAAAAAACATTAGGCAAGAGCTGCTATCAAAATTGTAAGTAATCAGAGCATCATAAAATGTATTGTATTTTTCAGGTATTATACCAATATTAGTGTATGGTTTAATAAAAGGAACGTGTAATATCTACAGTGAACCTGTATTATTAGTACTATCTTTATTACAATGTATATTGGTATTATTACTATCTACCAGTCATAATATATGGTTAATATACACCACCTATACCTTATCGTATATTGTATATCAACTAGGATTTGTCTTAGCCATGTAAGTTTCATATCATCTATTTAATACTTATCATGACAAGGTGCAGATGAAGCCAAATATGTTATTTCTTCAGAGTTAAGCGTAAAGTGTAGAGGACAGCTGTGGAGCTTATTGGAGTGACTCTACAAAAGGGAAAACAATTTGGCCAGTGGCTCTGTAGTTTTACCAGTCCTGTACTTTTAAAAAAAAAATAAATAAATATGTCTTCATGATTTATCTACCTGGATTGAAAACAACTTAACAATATTAGATTATGATCAGATACCTCTTTTAAAGCAGATGATAATTAAGATAAAATTCTTGTATATTCCCATGTCATGTTCTCTGTGATCTATTATCATATTTATATCATTTTTGTAGATTTTTGATTGGAAATATACTACAAGCTAGAAGATATGGGTTTGTTTTCGGAATTAATTTATTAGTATCTATGGTTGTTAAGTTGGTATTGGGTGTAATAATTGGAAACCATGCTTTAAATTTACCACCTTCCTCTCAGGTAGGTATACTAGTTTCTTAGTGCATTTCACGGTTAGTTGCAAGCTAGGAGAGGAACTTGGTTTGGTTTCTGAATTGTAAAAGAAACTTTTAGTAGATTTTCAAAACCAATGTCTCTCCTTAGTTGAAATCACTTTCCTTCATTTCCTACATATTGAGAGATATGCTTCATAAAAATAAGATGGAGATAGTTTGTAGATCTCGGAGACATTATCCTTGAAATATATTCCTTCACTTTCAATTTACTGATTCAAAGCTCCATAATGTGCAGATTGAACAGATTGAAAGCTGCATTTTGTTTCATTTGCTTACTAAGATTTGTTGTTAAAACAGCATTAAAGATATTGAGATGTGGCTATTTTAAATGTATTTTTATTTTATTTGTAGGTGACTGTATCTGGTGTAATAATGGGTTTACTTGGTTTGTGTTTTCTCTGTAAGATTATTTATAACATCACCAAGCTTTATAGACAGAATGGGCAGTGCTGTGGTAACTATAGTAACCCACAAGACAGAGATCTCCTAGTGAATACCAGCACTTAAAGAACTTGGGTCTGAATAAGCTGGTTGAATGGTAGATATTCATAGTTCTTCCTTCCTTTCAAATCTCCAAAATATTTACATTGGAATGGCTTACTCCATAGTGAGTTATCATTAGGGCCTTATAGTGCTATTGATTAAAATCTTCCTCTTCTTTTTGATGTTTGTCCCTCGTCACAGTGATTGGTCTTTATACCTTATACTTGCATAATCAACTTGACCACATTGCTATGTGTATGAAATTCCTAGACGATGTCTCAGAAAGAATGAAGTTTGTTTTGTTTACCAAGAAAAACAATTCAATTCGAGTAGTTTCAACAGTTATGATGAATTTAATGTCAAGCTATTTGATAAATATATAGTTCTCTTATATGCTGTGACTTTACTTGAAAACTTAATATTAGCTACATATAGCAACATTTAATTTCTATCAGACATAAAAGAGGGTTGTGTTTTTTTTTCTATTCACGCTATTGAATATAACCTCTATTAAAAGTGCTATTTTTCATCTAGTCATCCAATTTTTCACAATCATTTTTTAAATCAAGTGTGTGATCATGTTTATTGATCATGTTGCTAAAGGAAGATGATAGGAAATGTCATTTTAAAAGTCTTGCATTTTTTCAACCAATGTTTTTGACCAGACCAGACTGTTGTTGTGAAATGTTGCTATAATTATCATTATTTTCACCTTATTTGACTTAAGTTATGTCCACAATTTATGTTAAAAAAGTTTATATTTTGTTTCTGATATTGCTATATTTTCCATATAATTCACCATATAACAGAAGTCATTTGTATGATTTGAAGAAAACCTATTCATTTTTGTTTCGCTTCAATTATATTTTCAAAATGATTTGTATATTTGCCTTTACCACACTGACTTGCATAATATATAAAATATTTTCTAATAATCTGAAGGTTTGGTATCAATTATTCCAAATTATTTATTTTTGAAATATTTTTTTGTCAGGAGCACACTATTTTTTTATACGTCCACATAGAGAGATGTATATTGTCGGCACCCTTGTCCGTCAACATTTGCTTGTAAATGCTCTAAAAACTAGATTTTTTGATGGAATCATATGAAAATCGGTATGTGTCTACATATTCATAAACGAAGATCAAGTTTGAATTTGAGCTATTTTAGAACGTTAAAAGCAGAGTTATTGCCCTTGCCCCAAAATCTTGAATATTTACCATCCGCATGCCGTGGTGGGCGTATATGGCTGTGGTCCACTATCTTTGTAATATCCTTCCACATTTATCAGTTATTGAACATTCCAAAAGTTATATTTTTATTTTCAAGCCACAATATCAAATTTCTTTTGTAAAATCTGAAGATCTAATAATTATGAAGATATATGTAGTATTTATTGCTTGTCTGCTAAAATATATATTGTAATGCTACATTCCTGAATACAGCTCTCTTCAATAAGTATAAAATTGTTTGATTATATTATAAGATATAAGCTGATTTTCCAAATTCAAGATTCATCCATCAGTATCTAACATTTTCTGTAAGATCTTTGGAATAATCCAAGGGTGCTGTTCATGCAGATTTACCCAGTTTGTCATTTGTGACTATTTCCTTAGCATTATCATACCCTTGTAGTTTGAATAGATCATTTGATATTGGTACTTAGCTGACTGCCAGACAATTAGGTACCCTAAATCTTTCAAGATAAATCTTGATATTCATTTATCTGTTAGCTTTTATTCCCAAACCAAAGAAATTGATTTGTCAAGTCCCTGCCTAATTTTCTATCACTTGGACATTGTTTTATAAAAGAGACTACTGGTATAAATAGACGCTCTGTTAATAATCACAGGAAGCTCAGTGTTGGTAATGAGAACTACTATTAAGAGCTAAATATTTAATAGAATAAAGATAACAATATTTATCGAAAATATCACAAAAATAACTACTGGTAAATGATAAATGTATAATATAATTAAACAATATAATATAATATTGTACAATATAAAATGATGGAGGTTGTTTTTGGAGGGAAATGGAAAATATAAATATGGAGCATATTGCTGCCCTTATATAATGATATTTAAACTAAGTTGAATGACCAATTGAATGGATTCCTAGACTACACACTATACATAGCAGACTCACTGCCTCTTTTTGTTGGTAGCTATAAAGTCAAACTTCACTGATATTACCTCAAAATATCCAACTTCCAACACCACAGAACATAACTACACTGATGCTGCAGGAATAAAGCCTACCTTGGAACACTATATAAATACATTGATGTACTACTTAGTGTTTGATAATAGGAACTTTATATATAACTCTATCTGAACTATATAGAATAACAATTATAAAGGCCTCTTATATTTATGGCATTATTTTGATTAACATAACACTATGAACATTATCACATTAACATGCTTCTACAACCCCCGCCCTCTTTTAGACCTAGATAAATGGGATGTATTCCTCTAGATATAAAATGTGCCCCTTCAGTGTGGAACTCTTGTTGATTTAACCCAAGACCGAGTTGGCCACTAAATTAGAGAATTACATCCCCTTGTGAGAGCACTTTCCCATTTATAAATCCATTTATATAATGCCTGTATATTTGATAATTGGATATAGAAGTCCAAATAATTGGAGCAATTTGTCATTATCATACAGGGCAAAAAATATTTGACAAGAAGTTTTACTTTTGGATAGTGGTAATTATGTTTAAAATAGCAATGACGAAACTCTTGTTAGAGCTTGAAGAACAAAGGATTATTTCGATAATAGACCTAAATTAATATTTGTTCAAACTTCAAATTTCATTTCTTATGTATTAAATATCGGGCATACTTTTCTGTTCTCCTTACAATTTTTGAACACAATAAAAGTAGTCCGAAACATGCTGTTTCCTTCCGTCAACTAACTCTCATCCAGTCTGACATATAATTGTGATACCTCTTTCATGAAACTGCATGTTTCGGATAACTTTTGATGCGTAGCTCCGATATATTCTCGATAGGAATTACCCTCTTCAAACAACCATTTGACTTTTGAATAGAGGGCCTATCTACTTTTGAGAGTTAATATCTTGATGTTGCCCATGGAATCTGGTTCAGCTGATTCAACCTGTAAGATGATACTGCAGCATTCTCGGTCGGATCGTAAATTTCATTGGTACGGATGTTGACATCCTTCAATTTCTGGTTAATGTCCATCAAGGTGTATTGGTTCTTTCTCACCTTCTGCTGCTCGTTTCGGTTCTGATCCATCAACTCCCTAATAGCCATTTCTTCCTGCTTCAAGGACGATAGAGCCACTTCATTTGTGTTGGTCTGCTGACGGAAATGACTCTCCAGGTTGTTGATGACTTTTGGTACTTCATTAGTCGATCTTCCACCAGATAAAGCTCCAGAGATTCCAGAGTTAGCTAGAAAGAATCCTGGGCGAACCTGTCCTCTTACGTCCGGATAACCATTATTCTTCGAGTTAAGGACATCATGGAGAGAGACTTTGGATCGTCGGAAGCTTGAATCTGGGCTTGGAGCTCTGGCAGTCCATGGTCCGTACTTTTTGGTTGGAGCCATGGCCAGGTCATCGGCACTGTCATATCTCTTCAGAGCTCCGTGATTGTATCTGTTCAATCGATTCTCGTAATGGTCCACGGGATCAAACTGTTCATCCCGGCTTGTCAGATCTTCGTATTCAATAGCATCAGTGTCCAGAAGGACGTCGGCAATCCATCCTGATCCAGTCTCCCTAAGAACTTGTAGGAATTTGTGGAGTGTTCCCAATCCACGATCATCCAATAGCCGGATCAGTTCAGCAACTTGAACCATGGCATCCATATGCTGAAATATGCAAGATAACATTTTGTTGAGATGAAAGTTGTTGAATCTTTGAAGTTGATTTTTGAGATTATTGATTATCCGTGTAATCTGCTTTTCTTTTATATTAGAATGATAGGCATTGCTAAGAAAGCGGATAGGATTTAGATTACTAAGGGATTAAATATAGTGAGATGGTCATAATGAAAGTCGACAGGTTTAGAACTAACAAAGCCGGATTAAATCATAAACTTTCGAAAAAATACAGAACATTTGAGGATTTTAAGAACTTGAGAAAGGGTGACCAAACCCAGTCGCAGGGTGACAGTTTCTGGGCATACAACTATATGAAATGTTAGTAATTAGTATATTAGTAAACTGCGCTCAGTGACAAACCAATCAAGGTTCTATATCTAAAAAAAATTCTATTTCCTAATAAATTTATATTTTCTACTCTTGATAGGAAATCGATATTAATCAAATTATCCTTGTTGCTACATTTGATTTGATGTAAAAATCATTGTTTAATTGTAATTCCCTTAGCTAATTCAATACCACAGTGTTACTATAGAAACCAGATTGTTGACTGTCATCAACATAACCCACTTCTTGTCATCATGTTCTATTTATTCACTTCAACATGTCAATATTGCCAATTTAATTGACAGCTTAGAATTAAAGGGACTTTTCCGTTTATCACTGAAAGTTATCCCTTATTTCCGTTATCCCTTATTTCCGTTATCCCATTTGGCTGATGATATCGGTTATTGATAACTGCTGCAAGAGAATATTTAACATAGTAAGTAAAATTTCAAATTAGGATGTTACAGAAACCTTGGAGTAAACTCCAAACATAAACCTATAGCGATTTCATGTTTGATGTCATCTAATTTATGACGCCTTCTAGCTTTAAAGAAATATGACTTAAATTCAAAGTTCAATTTATAACGTAGGCCTAAACTAAAATAAAATAAATTACGGTACAAAATATTATAATAATAGTTATTATTACTAGTTCATGATGTTACAGTCTAGAAAAATGTCACACTTACCAATATTCTTCTCTTCATTACGTCGCCAATTAAACCAACGTCAACTAATTTTTCCAAAACGCTTCGTGATAAAACTAAGTGACGTCGTAGAAAGGCTTCATTTTTCTTCAAAATTCCTCTGGCCAGACGAGGTTCAAGTTGACCCTGACTTGAATACATTGTTTTATTGTAGGATGGCGGCAGTTTTCTGTACGATAAGTCGAGGTAACTGGGGTAGCCTCCATATTCAGACTTTCCACTTACGCCATAACTCTGACGTAATTTTGGGTATGACATTTCCACATCATCATCATGATACACTCTGTAATCTGAATATTTTTGATTGGGATAATTGTCCAATCCGCCTGTATATCTTTTACTTGGATAAGTATCCGAACCTCCGGAATATTTTTGAAGTGAGAATCCTGTGTCTAAATTGTCGGTTGTATATCGAAGATGACTTCCAGGATCACGTTTGGCTCCAGAATTAAACCTAACCGTACGTCCATTTGACCCGTTTCTCCGACTCCTATATTTTGACATCATCTTGGCAAGATTCGTATACAAATTTTGTCATATGAATGTGTTCTATCACGTTTTATAAAAAGGTCCACAAATTAAGTACACAATATTTCTTATCACCGAGCCAAACTCAAACACGACGAATGGATTCGATTAATTGTATAATCCGTTTTGATCGCAATCTATCTTCTTGTCCTCTTGTCCTAGCCTTAAGCCGCTCACGTGTGCTACAATTTTGAAGTATAATCCTGCATCATTTCTGTTTCTAATAAACAATTAAAGTAAATATACTATTTTCATTCAGATTCTTTGCGAATTTACCTGGAATACAGGTGAATAAATTCAGGTTTCTGTGGGTCAATTGCAAATATTTATCAGCCCTTTCTACATTACAAATGTTCATAAAGGTTCCAACACACTGTCCGCTCTATTTACCAACAAATACAAGTAACATTTTCATTTTGTTTTCAAATTCTAAATCTCATGATATAACAATTTTTAAGCGGATATCCTGTAACGTCTTGTAATTATGATCAGCTTTCTCAATCAATACCGTTGTCAGGTAAATGAATATATACAAATTATAATCATATGAAAATGCAAGACACTATAGAGTATATCAGCGAAGAGTGGTGTTATACTATATGAGGTCTATATAGTGAATAGGCTTTAATGACATTATTTATATATTACACCAATCGACTCAATTGTCCCAATAAGTAATACAATATTTATAGATTGTTAGGGGTCAATAATATAACTTAAAAGTTGACGTTGTGTTAAGGGATTGCAAAGATGTTTGCTAGATGTTTTATGTGTATCGTGGACAAAGATAGCATCAATTTTCACCATTCCAGTTTTTATTCAGACGCCGTGGTTCCTGCAATTCCACTAAAACCAAGTTTTTTATGACGCCACTAATCGCAAAATATGCATAATCACATTAGGACTTCTCCATTAGTGACGTCATCAAAAGCTTAGTTTTAGTGGAATTATAAGAACCACATTGATTGAAAATTGGAATCGTGCAAATTGATGGTATCAGTGTCAGCCCCGTCTTTAGGGTGGGGTCCGTGGGGGTAGGGCCTAGCAAGTGAGAATGAAGCCCGAACAAAACCTTCTTCAGTTCAGCAGAGATTGATTAATTTACAGAGTCTTTGTACAAAATCACAAAAAGATGGATTTTGATACGTTACCCCAAAATTGTCAAAAATGAGTTCTCTGGGCCTTGAATTCTTCATATTTTCTGAATACAAAATCCGAGCCCCAAAACCATTTCATTCCTGGTGACGGGGCTGGTCCCTGATAGACAAACAATTTTTAGAAAACTTCTTTACAATCCCTTTAAGGACCAGACTTTTTAACCTTTTTATGTGTTTCTGTTCGTAGGCCTACCATTTCTTTTTCCAGCCCGACGTCTGCATTCCAGTGGCGGAGCCAAAGGGGAAGCACAGAGGGCAGCCGTTTTTTGGGAATGACTCTCATAACTAGGTTAGATATTCGTGTAACCTCAAAAATTTCGTCACATGTTTCATTTCTAATTTTCGAAACATGACATATAAAAAAAATTATCAACCTCTATATATTGACTTTCATTGAATGCGCGTTTTGAAAGATATCCTTGTCTTAGCTGCACCCCAAGAGACAAAAGTCCCCACCCCATCGTTTACAAATATTCAAATTTTAGCAGGTCTTTGTTCTTGAACTCAGTGTAGTAAAAGGATGTAAAACCTAAAACTAAAATTAGGGTTGGTCAGTTTCTGAGCTCTTGGCTGGTTTGATATGCCATCTAATCACAAATTGCTCACTGATACTTAAATTTAAATGAGAACAGTCTACAATGGACTAAAATCTGATCTAATAGTTTACCTCAAATTGATTAAAAAAAATTGCCAAATGTATCAAGAAACCCAAAAGGAAAAATGAATTTATCATTCATTCCTTCATTGACTCATTTTCCAAGCTGCTTATTTACCAATTGTTCATAAATTTCCGATCTGTCCTCATTTAAAGTGATACTACGTCTAAGAATGAACATACAATTTAAGTTCTCGAAATGGTCAATATGAGTATATATTCATCAGTTAGCTTACCTGGTGTCATAAAGTTACAACAGAATCCCTGGAAAATCTGGAAAATTGGAAAATTCATAAAACTAAGTAATTATTGAAAAACGCTTAATCTTAATATTAAACGTTTTTCAATAGTTAATTGCATATTTATGGATAATTACTAAGTTTTTTGGATTTATCGGATTATATAAAGATCCTGTTGTGTTATTATGACACCAGGTATATCTACTGGCTTTTATTCGACAAGTTTAAAATTCTATGTTAATTTTATGTTAATTCTAAGACGTAGTATCACTTTAAGAAGTATCAACTTTTCCAGAAGCATGCCCATAAAGCTACAGATGTGGGTAGAAATCGGGGAATAGGATGAAAGCCAACGTGTTATCAGCGTTGCTCACTTTATTAAGCAGAGTTCCATGACTAGGCTTACTGTATACCGGTACCTTTTGTTGCTTACACTGGACATTTCATTCATTAAAAGTTAAGCTCTAGTGTAGCCTATTTTTGCACATTTATCTGCACATAGAATGAAGCTGAAGCATTTTGTGTGTGCTTATAGATTGTTTTGGATAATCGTAAATCCTAAATATTGTTGTTATATACCCAGATTATTCCGATTCTTATTCAATGTGACATTTTTTTGTAGGCTGCAACCTTGAGACTGAGTGGTTAACTCACTTTATACTCTGGAATCTGAAGTCTTAAAGAGCTACCATTTACTCATACAGTGATCTAATTCCCTTCCTCAAAATAATGCTTTAGGGCAGTTGCTCGGACATTCTAGGCCTAATTAGACAAGGTATTATGACAAAATGAAAGTCAAGTCAGCAGATATTCCTTACGATATACATAACAGTATCTATTATTAAATGGAATGGAAATTTTTGTAGTCATTTATTTTGAAATAAGGTCATAGTCATGTGACTAGAGGAAAAGTTTATTGCCCAAGTGATCAAGATTTTGCAATGATTTCGCAATCCATAGAATCTTACGATGTAAGGGGGACAACTCCATTTAACCATGTTGAATTACTCCCCTTTGACCACAAACTCAAACCGGATGTATTCATCTGACAGTCTAAACAAAGATGTCTACTACTGAAAGCAGTTTGTTTGAGAGCTCTACAAATGTAACTCATGAATGCTTAATTTTCCCCGACAACCCTTCCCACTGTGTGAGTATTCTTTATTTATTTCATATTTTCCAACAAAAATTTTCTGTCATTCAAAACTGACAGGGTAATGCCGTTAAAATGATTGAAAATCCGTCAACCAACTCGGCAACAATGAATACTGAATAGTCAATTCATAGCAAGTGAGAGATGGGCGGTATTCGCGATTATTGATATTGTCTACAAGGCTCAAGTTAGTCCAGCATGAATCAATGAGTAATAAAAATGTGTAGTGTTGCAATTATATCTTTTATAATCATCAGAATATATATAGTCAATAATATCAGTAGGCTTATATCTATAAGTAAGGGTATACAGTCTATAAATAATTGGTTAATTGTTGACATGACATGACAGTTAGTGAAAACTTCAAATGGAAATGAAATGTATTACGGTACATTGTGAAAACTTTAATACTGACTTTAAAGATTATTAAATACCATTCATTTCTTCAATGTCGAGAGAAATAACACATTGTCTGCTATTATCTGGCCAGTAGCCTATACTATAAGCTTACTAAAAATAGAAAGTTACATTTACAATACGAGTGACCATGAAAAATTGTATGAGAACAAGAATCAACACACTTTAATATTTAGACACCTGTAGAAAAACATTACATTCTGACGATAAAGTAAAAACACTTCAATGAACAAATTTAATGAACAAAATTCTCTGTGTGAAATTTTATTTTTCTGATGCAGGACATAGTAAATACAAACAGGATTTCATGTGATCCTGTATGTGTCAATATTTTGATGATTGATTTTAGTGTTATTTCATCAATTTATGTTGGAAAAGAAGTCAATATTGTTATGGAAAGGTATTCCAGGTGCTAAAAGTAATTAAACCATTAGACTAAAATCTAGAGAGTCCCTTACCTATTGTGAAAGTTTTAATCAAAAGTATCTTGCTGTTAATTTTAGAATGCCAAAGCTATAGAAAAGGTTAATTAATGATTATGGGTCAAAGTATGATTGTAGACAGTTCTACTTTATCAAGTCTAAAAAAAAAACAATGTTTACAATTTAAAAAAACAAAAAAAACAAGTCAAGATGTTATTTGTCTGGTTATTAAAAATTAATATTATGGTTAATGATTTCACTGAAAATGAAGGATGTAAAACTCAATTTCATTTCTTTTTATTGCTTTGTTACTGGTAGTTCAGTATTCAAGTAGTAGCAGAACAATACTTAAATTAATGTTGGAATAAGCATATCAGTTGTATATTTTGAATCTTCACTACTATGCATATTTTAATGTACACATTGTTATGCTATTATGCTTATAAAACTTTGTGTGTTGTGAACTATTAAAGTAGTCATAACCTGTGTTAAGTCTTTCATCGATAGATAAAGAATATTGTATTTCTACAGGTATGTTGACCATGTATAGTGCATCCTCTTATCAAATAGACAAGACTGCAGTTTTCTTTATGAAAATCCCATGACAACACTCTGACAACAGGATGTAAAACTCCATTAAATTTCAGTAGCTAAGGATTACAATCATGAGAAATTTAATATCTAAAGCCTGGTAAAATGATAGCTGTCATAATCACTCTCTTTTAGTATTCCTTACACATAAATCAATAAACTTATACAGAGATAATTATAGTCTTAAAAAAATAAATTAATTATTTTCAGATCAGTCAACTTCAAGACACAAAAAAGATTTGGCTTCCAATTATCTTTGAATCTGTAATCATGTACATACTTCATTTGATTTTATTCATTCATAATTAGTCTCATTTATTACAGGAAGGTGCCATGTCTTGATAACCTTACATCATGCACCTTATTCATTTATTGTCAGATTAATCAAATCTGAGGTCTAAATAAGTTGCCAAGCTTAGGCTTATTCCACAATTCAGATCACTTTCAAAATGTTCCAATTCCTGTCAGCTATTATTATCAGAAATTGGCCTGATTTGGATGCAAAGAGAAGCTTTAAAGGGACAGGTTCGCCATCTGCTTAGTCTCAGTAACGGGAATTCTATAGCTAAGCTAATCAGTGATAGTGTTCACAGCTCACCGTCGAAATTTTAGTCTGATGCGATTTGCGTAC